TAAATCACTGAGCATTCTTCCAGTGTGTGATCGTTCAAAAACCTTGTTATTAGCACTCGATGACACGACTATTGTGAGATAATTAGATTGGAATTGGTCCAGGAGCTTGAAGCACCAACAGCATTATCAGGAATTACAACATGTTGCGTAAAAAGTTTGAAAGCATTCGACGATTAAAGTAACCACGGAATACAAAAACTGGATTACCTACTTATCCTTCTATCTGTTAAAACACCGGCTCTAGGTATAAAACACATTATACCCGCAACTTTCAACAGACAAGAGGTTATACCACATACCTAGGTAAAAAAATACTATGAATCGATTTCAATTCAAAAACTTAATTTTGAAATGACAGTGTTATTTTTCTTTGCCGTTACCATACAGCAAACATTCAGAACCTTTTAATTCTTACACAGCTTTATTTCCCTATATAAATCTACATTACCCTAATTAAACTGTCAAACACCAAGCGGTCACCGGTGACCGCGACCTATTGTTCTTTAATTGTGTCTATAAAACCGGTACTCAACGAGTTAAAATAAAATACATAACATCATGCCTTTTATCTCCGAAGGGGTTGGCAGAGGTGCACATTACGGCACTTAATGACACTGTACAATGTAACACTTTTCACTATTTATGTTATGAGTCCCATGTATTAGGGGGTAAGCCTATTGCCGTATACCGGACATTTCCAGACTCCGTGCTACTACTGAGATTTTTAAAAAACCTAGTAATACTTTGCCCGACCCGGGAATCAAACCCGAGACCCCTTGCCCGGCAGTCGCATTTGCGACCACTCGGCCAATAAGACAGTTAAAATAAAATAACAAGCAACAAAGCCACATCTAGGTACCTATTTATCTACATAGGTAGTTTTAGTAAACAACTGACGTTTTAAAGAAAATCCTATTAAAGAAACCAAACCACTTTATTGATTAACAAATTAGATTAGGTTATGCATTGTGTTGTGTCAGCAACACGTGTTAATGTTTTATGCGTATGTATTCACTACGTCATTGTAGGTACATAATAATAAATTGTTATTTGCAACATAGTAGACCTAAATGGAAGTACCTACCTACAGTTAAGTATCTACCTATATAACCAGGTCATAAAGATGTCTAAAGCTTAAAAATAATATTCTAATAAAACTACTAAATCTAAATGATTTTATTTAATAGAAATTTTTACCAAGAAAATTATGGAAAAAATTAAATTGGATTATGACTATGTAATAATCAAACTGTCAAAGGAGAATGGCAGGTTTGTATGGAAGTTTTGTACCGCTATAAAATTTTGTATTAGTCTTTGTTTTAACCAAGTGAATAGTCTGAACGATAGATATTTTTATTATGAAGTTTAGAAAAAAATTACATATTTTTAGAACTTGGGGTTCAAAAGTTATTTCACTTTGAAAATGTGCAAAAGGTATGTTAAGGTGGTACCACACTTGACATTGCGTAGTCGCTTCATTTGTCCAAATATTTGTAGACTTCGTACAAATGGCGTCCAAATAGTATCTCTATATGTAATGGCGTGCAAATATATAGCAAACAAAGAAGAATAAATCCTCCAAAACTTTTTTGGCCGAACACAACAAATACGCAACGTCAAGTGTAGAGCCACCGTAAGCAAAATATCTATTACAAATGACAGATGACAGTTAACTGAAAAATGTCAATGTGCTCTCATGTGGTTGTTTATTTACAAAAAACAAAAATCTAAAAATACTGCTCGCTACTCAAGTGACTATTACACTTTGTATTATTAGAAAGAAAGAAAGAAAGAAAGAAAAACCATTTATTTTGCTACGACACACAACAAGAATTTAGAAACCCAAAAAATAACCTATGGTGCGTCGCAGCGCAAAAGGCAATTAGGAATGATCCTGTTAATTCAGCAAGCATGATGCACCTGTAGAGTTTTAAAGAGTATGCCTCACAATCTTTTTCATTTCTTAGGTGCCTACGAAAATGCAAATTCATAATGTAAGCGACTGTCATTGGGTAGAAGGCCTACATTTAGCAGTGGAAGTCTTGTGGCGGATATGATAAAACTAATGTCTCACTTCACCTTGAATCTTGCAGGTAGATAGTCTCAAGGGTCTCAAGTTAATTCGATTTAAACTTAGCTTAGCTCTTTGAGAAAGTATTTCTTCTGAAAACTGGTTGCTTAGCACGCATGTAAGGATTAATTTCTAATAAGTAAGTCAAATTAGTAGAATCATCAACATTTTCATCATTAAGTCTATAAGTGGCCACTGCTGACCGAAGCCTCTTCTCGCATGGAGGTTTGAGCATTAATCACCATACTAGCTCAATGTGGGTTGGTAATTCAAACTTATAATAAGAAATTATAAGCCCATGTTTCCTCACAATGTTTTCCTTCACCATTCGTCAGCGGTGTCTTTGTACTTTCTTATTGAATATACCAATAACTCGGAAAAAAGACACATTGGACAAAAGGTACTTTGCCGTTGGTAGGTTTCGAACCCGCACTCTCATGCATGAGAAGCGGGCTTCTTAAACCTCTGGGCCACCACATTACAACTAAAGAAAATGTAAAATGAAAATGAACATTTTTGGTATAAAACTAAAGCTATCTAAATTAAATATGGCATTTATTTTATAGATTGATTCTTAAAATCACTTTTATCAAGATGGAATATATAGTTACTTACTAGGTTAAAATAAAACAAATGTATTATTTTGAAATACTTTTATTTCATTGTATTCAGGTTGTTTCTAGGAGTACTTCATCTAAAAAAGAACAGGCCGTGTCATAGGTACAGCAGACATCAATTGCTGATATCTGTAAACAAGTAAGATAACTGTAAATAAAGTAAACAAAAGTACATTTTTTCCTTTAGTTTTATATGTTATAATAATAAGTCTGATTCCCTATCTTAAAATGGAAAAGATAAAAATAAATATTTGATTACATTACTTCATTTTATAACATTTATTATAGTTATTCGTATAACACAGATCATAGGAGCTCAAACAGCATGCTAATTAATAAATTATATTTATAACATGAGTATAAACCTATTAGAAACCGCTTATATACTCCACATAGATACATAATTATGTAGGTACATTATATTGAGAATGCATACCTGTTGAAGCTTTGAGAGCCGAACAACATCATCCGGCCTCATCTGTTCTACAAATGGCAATGTTAAAGTGAGGCTTAGTCCATGTTTACATAATACATTACTTCCTGATAGTGAACACTGTGAGGTGGTATGTCAGGTTGTGGTTTTATAGTTTCGACTCTTGTACGGTCTCTCAGTCAGTATGGAACATGATCTTCATCATGGGAAGTAAGCTAAAATAAGTAATATTATTAGAATATGATATTGACTTTAGATTACACTGTATATAGATAATAGTATGGTTAAATTATGCTTTATTACCTCTTGTGGCTGAATCCAATCAAATACTATATGAGCCAGTCTTTACTCCTGTTTGTTGGCGCCTTCAATTAAAACCCTGCGTCACCTTATCATTGCAATGAATCACCCATATACGACACAAACATGCCAGTGACCAATTTGTTTGCTGGACATACTTTCAGCAACATCCTGATACATTGCTAATTGCCAGCAAGCATTGCAAATATGGTCGGTAGGAGAGATCTAGAATAAAAAGAATAAAATGATACATTATGGGTAGATAACACTATGCGCCTTCTTTTATTCAGGCAACATGGTGACTTTCGATATGTTATGGGTAAACTAGGTACTTACATCTCTAGGATAAGTCCACATTGGGATATTGTTGACCACGTCTAATCTTCACTCTCATTTTCTAGAGCATGCCGTCTCATGTGCGACAAACTCTGAATGCAATTAATACACTGTAAATTCATCATCGCGACAAATAACAACACACTGCACAAAACAATGTAAATAAGTGTCTTTTCGCAATTGTCACAACAATGATTCCAATAATACCAATTTGGGCTACGGAGGAACGGTTGCCAAACTCAACGTATCACCAGATGAATAAAATAACTTCAAATTCAACAAACACATCATAACATCGCATTTGAAACAAACAACAATGCGCCAGTATTGACAAATTAATTGTCAATGTCATCAAGACAAATGCCAGTTCAACATTGCCATAATATTCAAGTTTGTTAAAATGTTAATTATCATTAATAATCCATGTAAACGTAGATTTAGATTGGATGTAGATTTTTATATTTACTTATAAAAATGTTTGAAATGGAAAGGAAAATATTTCATTGATAGATATTAAAATAAATGAGTTTATGAAATAGCGAAATTCAATATGCTCTGATTTCATCTTTACGCATGGCAACTTTGTAAACGTCAATCGCGGTTCGTTTTACGTATAGTGGATTGCTTTTTATCATTATTGAATATCAGTTTTTCTAGGGTTTCCCAAGTTTTAAAAATCTATTAAATATGCTAACATAACGTACTTAGGAGGTTCTATAATGACCCAATTTTTTAATGACAAATGTTTTTTTAGCGAAGCGGTACAAAATCTGCCGTTCTCCTTTATTTGGTAATTTTGATGGATATTGATTTTTAATGCACACAAAGTATTTTTTGAGCGAGTTTTTTTTAAATAAGAAAACTATTTTATTATTATTTTCACAGTAAAATTTTTCTGTACGAATAAACGTTTTGTTACTCATTGTACCGATACATTTGCAACATTACGGCAACTTTTACCTTGGATCAAAATACGAAAATATTAGGATTACGAAAATAGTTACTTAGACTTAAAACTAAATATTGTTTTTATTAAACTGGATAAATAAAAATTTAATCATTTTTATTTTCGTTTTACTCGTTTGACAGATATGAAGTTTCCAAACGTATTAGAATAAACTAAACGTAAATTTGACATAAGTAAGACATCGCGATCGCGTTTTGCCTGCACACGTCTTGTAAATTGTGCGTTTTTGTCACCGTTTTTTCAGTTTTATATCAATTATTTAATTTTTTATCAATAATGGACCATGAAAGCAGACAACTCGCTCAGGATTTGTTCCTGCGGGAACCTGTGGATGCTCGGATACGGTATATAAAGCTTCTTTACTATCGCCTATAGGTTTTACATTGTTATTTCTGTAAAACCATGTATTTTTTTTACAGGAAGGCTAAAGTTGAACCAGAGGAGGACCCTCATCCTAACCTCAAAGTGGAAATGCAAACTGTTCGTTTAAACTCAGATTCACAGAAGCTTGTGCTGGACACATTGAGGTTTATCCATGGGCCTGATTTTAAACTTGGAAGTGCCAGTCTCTATAAAGTAAGTGGTGTGCATGGAAAACTAAAAAGGTTTTATGTTGAATAAATTTTAAAAAAGTAAAAAAAATGCTTGAATATTCACATTATTTTTATCAACATCCACATTGCAAATAGGTAATTATTGTTGTCATAAAGTTGTGCAATAGATGTCTTGATGTGGTGTATGTTGGCTTGATTAGATATCAATGAAATAACTGCACTTATGTGTTAGGTACTTGAATGAATTCAGTACCTATATGAACTTTTTCTGTCAAAGCAGATCTTTATTTAATTTTTAAATACTCAATATTTAGTTGCAATTAATTGTTGTAAAATCAATATGATTTCAATTGAATAATGCTTGATCTTTATAATCCGAGATTGATCATATCTGAAATAAAAGTAAACAATGATGTTTATTGATATTTTTACTCATAGTTTTACAACACTAACTTAACCATAAAAATAAATAAAAAAATGTTCTTTATCACTACACAGTATAAAATAAAGTCGGTATCTGCTGTCTGTCTGTCCTTATGTATGCTTAGATCTTTAAAACTACGCAGCGAATTTTGATGCGGTCTTTTTTAATAGATAGTGATTTTTAAGAAAGGTTTATATATATAATGTATGTATAATGTATACTATTCATTAAAAATGCAGATTACAAAAGAAATCTTTATTAAATGAAACAGATTTTGCTTACTAAACTATTAGGTATAACAAGATTTTAAAAACCACTTTATTATTTCAGGACAAAGGTTCAAATTTGGGTAACCGTTACTGGATGGAGAGAGGTAACCTTATTGTGCAGGGAGGGTGTGATTACTCGCTGACTGTCAAACCAGATATACAGACTTCGGAAGCGAGACTCCGGGCATTTGCACTGGCTAAACTGGAGAGGTAATATATATGATTATTAACATAACAGCCTTTTTATCCCTGAAGGGGTACACAGAGGTGCAAATTAGGGCATTAGGGCCCCTTTTCTACAGGTATATGAGACACAATAGAAAACACATTGTGTCTCACGTATATGTATGTTCCCAGCATATCAGGGCTTAATGCCACTGTACAAGGTAACACCCAGTTTTCACTATTTATGTTATGAGTCCCATGTAATAGGGGGTGAACCTATTGTCATATACTGTGCGCTATTTTAGACTCCGTGCTTCTACTGAGATTTTTTTAAAAGCTCAGTAATACTTTGCCCGACCTGGGAATTGAACCCGAGACCCCTTGCCTTGCAGTCGCACTTGCGATGACTCGGCCACCGAGGCAGTCAATTTATGATTATTGCATGAGATATAACACTGTTCAATTCATCCCCACATAACTAGTATACAACAAAGTTCCATTCCGCCATCTTTGTGTCTGTAATCTGCCATCTAAGCTTATATCTTTTAAATTACACAACATTTATAATAATAATAACAGATTTTGGTTAGGTTTTTTTAATAGATACAAGTGATTCAAGATGATTTTAATGCATATGAAGCCACTAGATAAAGCTAGTAAAATGATAAAGTGCATGTATTTTTGAACATGACTATGGTTCATTATGATTAGAGAATAATATACAAATAGTTACATGTGCACTATAATTCAACGGCACGGTTGGTGTGGTGGCTGGGCAACTGGCTATTATGCAATGGGTAGCAGGCATGATTGCCGCAAAGAGCAACTTTTTGTGTGATCTACAAATTGTTGTTCCGGGTCTGGATGTCATGTGTATGTGAAATAGTATGTTTGTAAACGCACCCACAACACAGGAGAAAATCCTAGTGACGGGCAACATTTAAAAAAATAGAAAAAATATTATTTGCTACTATATAATAGATAGTTACCAATATTTTTAATACAGTCTTGTTGCCTATAAAGTAATATTTGTGATTTTCATAACTAGTGCTTTTTCGTGAGAATAATCATATCTTCGTCCTTTTGGTTTCACCATAGTCGGGTAAAATGTTACTTTAATTTGCTATTAACATACAAACAACTGGAACCTTAGAACCAAATTGTGTTTTATGTATTTTAAATGCGAATTCCTTGGTTTTCAGGTATAATTTCCACAAAGCACATTGTGCAGAAGCCTTAGAAGTAGCAGCAGAAAATATAGAGAAAGCATTGGAAATACTTTTCCTCAAATACTTCAAAATAAATTTCCAAGATAAACCGGAAACTGTGCCCACTCCTGCAGAGTTGTTAGAAATGAAAAATGATGAAAAAGCAGTGCTTGAATCAATATACGATACAAGTTTTAAAACGAAAGATCATAATGTATGGATTGTCAAATTAAACCTCGATTACCTGACGAAAATGTACGAAGCAAAAGATGTAGAGGTTCCCAAGAAGAAGAACATAAATTACACAAGTGGTGTCAAAACGAAACAGAAAGAAGTTTGTAAACTGTTCCTCCGAGGTCCTTGTAGGTTTGGCGCGAAATGTAAGTTCCTACACGAATCAAAAGAAGAGAAATCTTCAGAGCCCGTAGAAGCTAAAGATAACACCAAAATAACTTACGAATTAGAAATAAGATTTCCCGAAGACACTGTATATCCATACCAACCACCATTAATATTTTTCAAAACGGAAAACAAGACTAATATTATACCAGAGCTTACTTTCTTAAAAGTAACTTTAAGACTTTTGGACGAAGCCAAGAATCTAGCACAGGACGGTATACCAAGTATATACTCTTTAGTGGAACTCCTCAATAACGAGGAGGATATTATGAATTTTATACAATTTGATACTAGAACTTTTCCGGACACATCGGACGCCTTATTTCCTCAACTCATAGAAAATAATAGTTTAAGTAAAAAGAAGTTACCGTTGCATTATAAAAAGGGTGAGAATAAAGATAATAGATCTAAAGTGAATATGGAGGAGATTTATAAGGAGAACAGAGAGATAGCTAAGCGTTGGTTGGAGAAAGAAGATAATGACAAGTATAAGAGAATGATGTCTGGCAGAAGGAAACTGCCGGCTTGGCAGAAGAGGAATGAAATACTGAACACTGTAAAGAAATCGCAGGTTAGTAGTATTTATATTTTTATTAGTAGGAGACTTCCATTGCTGGACAAAGTAGGTCCTATACGTCGAACGACAGCTCCTTCCCGTATCCATTGGCTCCTCAAGATTGACGATGTCGTCGTTCCACTTAGCGGTATGCCTGCCTACGTTTTGTCTTTCAATCCGTGGTGTTACCCTCTTGGCCCACTTATTTATGATTGTGTCTATGATAAATCTTAGTTGCTAGTTCAGTTGCAGTGCTTTAGTTTCAATTTTCGGTGCTATGGGATTTTTTAAACGTTGCCCCACTAGGATTTTATCTTGTATCGTGTGTGCGTTTACAAACATTCAAGTTCGTGTACACATGACACCCAGATACGAAACATAAGGTGATGAAATAGGAAATTATAGTACAGATCTATTTTAAACTAGCCAACTACCACGACTTTGTTCGCGTGTAATGGTGATTCACAGCTTTGTTTAGCCCGGATATACATACAGACAAACAGACAAAAATTCTAAGAACCATATTTTTAGCTTCGGTATCACTTATAGATCACGCCCTAAGCATTCTTTAAAAAAAATATGCAATGTACAGTTTTCACTTTCTTACGATTTTATTATGTATATATATATATAATCGATTTAGATTACACATCAGCCTAGTAGGTAACTAATAATTTAATTAGATAAGCGTTATAGTTAAAGATAATAATAATCACTGCATTTATTTACAAAATAAATCTAATGACGATCAAACAAATGAGGTAAGTAGTAATTAAATGGATGTTCTAATGTAAAGCAAATACTATGAGAATAATAGATTATGTTAATATCATGATTAATTTAATCTAATTGCAAATAATTGTGAGGTTTTCCTCAATACCCTGAGATATCTGCATAATGTTATCTGTAGCATGCGTGAGTTACAATGCAACTCCTCTTATACATGTCGCGGAGAACCTAACGGGTAACCGGGGCTCCGGCTCGACGTGCAGGAGAAGGAACGGGGTGGTTTTTAGTCAGTAAGAGTCTGACACTCCCTTCCGCCTCACCCAGGCGGGAGGAGTCATTCGATGATTTTCCCCCCTTAAAAAAAAACTCCTCTTAAACATAGGTATGTTTATACTTTTTTTTTATACTTTAAGGTCGACGTTTGACCACCATCTCGCCTGATGGTAAGCGATGATGTGGCCGACGATGGAGTACCTATGAGCAACCTAATAATTTTAATTAATTAAAATGCTTAATTTTAGGCCTTATTGGATTCATCTTAACAACCTACATATTATCTATATTTAGATAGTAATAAATAACATAACATCATGCTTTTGCTCGCCTACCAGGCGAGACAGTGGTCAAACATCGGCCCATTAAATATTTATATAAAAAAGTGTTCTGAATACTTTTTTAAGCGATTTTGTCTGCGTATATAAAGTCGCCTTTGCGATATTCCACACAAAAATCATCTTGTCTACATAATTTTATCCAGATAATTTCAATTGTTTTTGTGACAATCATGTAAACAATGTGCGATGCAGTCGGTTGGCGTGTTGGACAACTGGCTGACACATAACGTGTCGCGGGTTCGATTCCCGCAAGGAACAACTCTTTGTGTGATCCACAGATTGTTGTTCCGGGTCTGGGTGTCATGTGTATGTGAACTTGTATATTTGTAAACGCACCCACGCCACAGGAGCAAATCCTACTGTGGGGCAACGTTTAAATAAACTATTTGTTTTAAATTGTGTATGTGTGTTAAATAACATTTTAAGTCAAGATTGATCATAAAATTATTTTTTTCAGGTTGTAGTAATTAGCGGTGAGACGGGTTGTGGTAAAAGCACACAAGTACCGCAGTTTATATTGGACAATTGGTTGGAGAATTTCAAAGATAGCGGCGACCACGTGGAGGTCGTCTGTACGCAGCCTAGAAGGATATCAGCCATCGGAGTGGCTGATCGGGTGGCTGAGGAAAGGGTCGAGAAGACCGGACAGGTTGTCGGTTATCAGGTATGTTGTTTGATGGTATTTTCTTTGCTATTAAGTAGGGTCGCAAGTGTTTTCTTTTCCTCTTATAATATCTTCTGATTCACTTCGTTGCGGGAACTAAGACTGTTATTCATGTCCCTGGGACGCGCCGGACTTCAGTGTTCCGGTGTTTTCATGGTTGTATCTACTGTAGATTCTGGCTTACAGGAGTTGCAGCGGTTTTGGGAGGATGTGGCGGGCTTGTCCCATTAAAAAAAATAAAAAAGGGTCGCAAGGGTCGCAAGTCGAATCAATTGGAAATGTATTAGAATCAGTCTAGATAAAATGTCAAGCATGAAATCTTTTGTTACGGATTTTATTATATTGTAACTGGTGTTGCCTTTAGCATGCCTATAAAAGAGATTCAGATGCTCATTTACAAATATGTTGTGCGGTTCATATATTTGAATATTCGCATTAAAAATTGCAAATGCGAATGTCAAAAGATGTGCTAATATTCGTTACATCACTAGTTTGTGTACCAGAAAAGCGATAGGTTTTGTTAAAATTTTCTTTAATTTTTCGTGCAAGTGGTTTCGGGTTCGAGTCCCGGGTCGGGCAAAGTATTGCTAAGTTTTAAAAAAAAATCTCAGTAGTAGCACGGAGTCTGCAATTGTGCCCGGTATATGGCAATAAACTAACCCTCATTACATGGGACTTAACATAAATAGTGGAAAGTGGGCGTTACATTGTACTGTGGTATTAAGTGCCATAATGTGCGTAACCCTTGAGGTAAAAAGGCGTGATGTTATGTTAAGTCTTTTGCTTTTTTTTTCAGATAAGATTAGAAAGCAAAGTGTCATCGAAAACCCGCCTAACGTTTTGCACCACCGGTATTCTATTACGGAGGCTAGAGTACGACCCTCAGTTAAAATCAGTCACTCACATACTTGTAGATGAAGTACATGAGAGGTCTGAAGAGAGTGACTTCCTCCTCCTAATTCTGAGGGACTTGGTCAAAGTAAGGAAGGATCTAAGAGTCATACTCATGAGTGCGACGTTGAATGCAGATTTGTTCTCCGATTACTTCGACAAGGTTCCAGTGCTTGAAATACCAGGTAAGAAAATGAATTTATTCAAGTTTCTGGGGGAAATAGTAAAAATAAGAAAACAATAGGGAATATGAAAAATAGGGAATATATACCAAAAAGTCAACGTCACACGGTGTTCCCAGGCGGTCACTCAGAGTCGCGGAGAACCTAACGGGTAACCGGGGCTCCGGCTCGACGTGCAGGAGAAGGAACGGGGTGGTTTTTAGTCAGTAAGAGTCTGACACTCCCTCCCGCCTCACCCAGGCGGGAGCAGTCATTCGATGATTTTCCCCCCTTAAAAAAAAACAAAAAATAAGGCGGTCACACATCCTAGTACTGACCGCGCCCAATGTTTCTTTACTTCGGTGATCGGACGAGAATCGGGCTTTTCAACATGGCATGGGCGTTGATGACTGCACGTTTGAATTTTGACTATTGTCGTAGTGGATGACGTCACCACTGTCATGTCGTTCTATTTTGTAGGTCGAACGTTCCCGGTAGAGCAGCTGTTCTTAGAAGATATAATGGAGATTACGAATTACGTGTTAGAAGAAAATGGTCCTTATGCTAGAAAAATTAAGAAAGGTAAGTAAGGAATTTTTGTTTAATAAATTTCTTTAATATTCAAATAAAGATAAAGACATATATTTGCGTAAAAACATGGTATACAAAGATGTTATAGTTAGAATTTAATTAGATCATCATGTTTTGCTTAATAAATAAAGCATGTAAATATTAACTTTTATTTTTTTTTATTTTTTTTTATTCCCAGCAATATCCTTACAGACTAATCCAAATCGATATTGAGGCCTCTTATATCTAAATTATAAACTAAATTTTTAACTAACTAACCATAACAAATGCTTTGAAGTGCTACTTTAGTGAATTCACTCAGAGTACAATAAAACATATCAACGTCTTCAGCTATGACTTAAAACTTATTTTAACTAACTTACACTCGTAGTTATAAGTTATACAGTTCTCTTATTTATGTCTCTTTTGAATATTACAGGTGATAAGAAACAAGACTTAGAAACGGAATTGGAAACGTGTGACGTACGTGCGGATGCCAATGAGCCTCCGAAGATATCGATTCGAGATGACAACTTGAATATAGGACAGATGGTCGCTCGGTACCCAAAATGTAGTAAGACTACATGCAAGAATATGTACCTTATGGATACTGAGAAGGTATGTTTTTGGTGTAGTTTCACATAACATCACGCCTTTTATTCCCGATGGGGTAGACAGAGGTGCACATTATGTACAATGTAACACCCACTTTTCATAATGTATGTTATGAGTCTCATGTAATAGGGGGTGAGCCTATTGCCATATACCGGGCACAATTCCAGACTCCGTGCTACTGTTGAATATTTTTTTAAAACTCAGTAATACTTTGCCCGACCTGGGAATCGAACCCGAGACCCCTTGCCCGGCAGTCGCACTTGCGACCACTCGGCCAGCGAGGCAGTGTAGTTTTTATAATCCGGGTTATTGTGACCGACCGTGGTGGCTCGGAGGTTAAGATACGCTTCTCATTCATGAGGGATCGGGTATAAAACCTATCAACAGCAAGTACCAATGTGATTTTTTCCGAGTTATATGTACTTTCTAAGATTATTTATACACCACTGACAAACGGTGAAGGAAAATATTTTGAGGAAACCTAAACTTACAATATTTAATTATAAGCTCAAGTGTGGTGATTAATGCTCAAACATTCTCCGTGTGAGAGGAGGCCTTTGGTCAGCGGTGGCCACTTATAGGCTGTTAATGATCTGATATTGTACTATTTCTAAAAAATAATAATTTCCATTGCCCAACACTACTACTACAGTTTGTGGAGGATTCGGGGATTGGGGAGACTAGGGAGGGGGGTAATTGGGCCTCCGGTAACCTCACTCACACGACGAAACTCAACGCCATCGTTGTTTCACGTCGGTATTCTGTGAGTCCGTGGTATCACTCCGGTCGAGCCGGCCCATTCGTGGCGAAGCATGGCTCTTCCACACTTCTGCGTTATTCTGCACCAAGTCATTGAATCTAGGGTGACGTTACAAGCAATAGAACGTATGATCTTATGAACCATATACCTTGCTTTCTTTATATTTTCTTCAATGTAGTTAAAAATGTACTCTAGCTACAACATAATAAGGCAGGTTTCGTGGTAAAAGAATTAACTTGAACCTCTTTGTCACCAGATCAATATGGAGTTAGTAGAACATGTGCTAACATACATCGTGAAAGGAGACCACGAGTGGCCGCGAGAGGGCGCTATCCTTGTGTTTTTACCTGGTATAGCTGAGATCATGTCGCTACATGATCAGCTCTGTGAAAGTCATACATTCAGTCCAAAGTGAGTATTTTTTATTATTATTACTATTTTTAACGTGCAATATATATATAAAATACAGTAGGTCCCCAAATATAAATCTACTATATAAAAATAAGTCGGGTTTTCCTCCTGACGCTATAAATCCAGAACGCACGAACCGATTTCCACGGTTTTGCATTCGTTGGAAAGGCCTCGAGCCCCGTGAGGTTTATAGCAAACGAAACGAAATGTTACATAAAACGAGGCCATCTGGTGGCGAAACGGAGTTCGCCGGGTTTGCTAGTTCAATAATAAAACACCATTTCCAACTCCACAGGACAGGCAAATACACAATAGTACCACTCCATTCAACATTATCAAGCGAGGAACAAGCACAAGTTTTCAAGAAGCCACGGCCGGGCGTGCGCAAGATAGTGCTCTCTACCAATATTGCTGAAACTTCTGTCACTATAGATGATTGTGTTTTCGTCATCGATTGCGGCAGGATGAAGGAGAAAAGGTAATTTTTTTCTACCTATGTTATTTTTTTTTATTGTATAAGGAAACGGGAAGACGGATCTTCTGAATAAGCAATCGCTGCCCGTGTATTGGGTACTTTCCTTTATCAAAAATAAATTATTTCGACTGTTCAATATAATGTAATATTAAAAAATAATCACAATTTCATTAATTTATGTTTCCTTTCTACCAACCAGATTCGACTCCAACCGTAACATGGAATCCTTAGACCTGGTCTGGGTATCTCGTGCCAACGCCAAACAACGCAAGGGTCGCGCAGGTCGCGTGATGCCGGGCGTCTGTGTACACCTGTTCACGTCCCACCGCTACCAGCACCACATACTGGACCAACCTGTCCCCGAGATACACAGGGTGCCGCTAGAACAGCTCATACTGAAGATTAAGATACTGCCGCTGTTCCAGGATATGAGTGTCCATGAGGTTTTGGGTGAGTGTGTTATTTATTGATTCTAAACAACCAAATAAGCGATATTAAAAAGAGGTCAAATTTAAATCACCTTCAACCGGCGAGCCTGCAGAACAGAACAGAACTGTGCCTGTCTTTGGCCATCTTAATGAGACAGGCGTGACGATAATATATATATGTTAATTATAAATATATAAAGAAATCAGAATGGCAAATAATCGCTGTTTATTTAAATTCAAGGTTCCAGAACACATTCATAGAAAGTGGAAAACTCAAAACTGTGGTAACATGTAGTCTATGTCTATTTATCTGTATATGTATTATATAGTTAGTATTTATGTCATTAGTTATGTATTATCAATTATAACAATCATGTCTTCCCTCTTTAATATTTTTTTACCATAACTTCGTTATCTTGTTTATGCTTTCTTTTCTATAATTTTGCACCTACCGCTTTAACATTCTGCACCACCCAATGGTCGACTGTTAGAAAATGCCTACAAACATTTAATTCTTACTTTTACGAAAATAAAACATTGTTTTCCATCACCTGTGGGCCATTTTCTGTATATGTCAATAATCAGTAAGTTAAGGTTAGGTATTCAAACATATTTTGTTATACCAGATATTATATATTATATTATCGTATAAGAAACTTAAAACGATATTTTGTCCATCCAGGCAAAACGGTAGAACCGCCAACGAAATCGAACATAGACGGCGCTCTTTCCCGCCTTCAAGACGTGGGGGCATTGGACAAGGCCTATGCCCTGACGGCGCTGGGCAAACATCTGGCAGCTTTGCCCGTAGACGTCAGGATAGGCAAACTGATGTTATTCGGGGCCATATTCTGTTGTGTGGACTCAGCACTCACTATGGCAGCGTTTTTAAGTCATAAAAGTCCTTTTGTTTCTCCGTTTGGGAAGAAGGTAAGTTTTTAATCTACACGAGGTTTTTGTCGTTTACTGTTGGATAGAAGTGGACTCTAAGAGCATGGTGCAAGTTTCAGTTTAGCTAGGCAACTTTAGTTACTATACTCGGAATTTTAATTCGATTCCACATTTGACAATTTCAGTGTTGCAACGTTACACAAGTACTAAATAGTGACGTTGCGAAATTATTCGATATGGAAATGGAATATTTCTGGATCGATTCTTCTCGTTTATAATAATTATAATTTTACTCTCGTGAACTAAGTATATCAGGAAATTAAATATTTCTGATCGATAATTTAGTTTTGACGATTAATTAACGATCTGAGACGTTTCTTGTATAATTGTATGTAAAATAAATAAAAACATGTAACCATGAAGGAACATGACAAATAAAACAGATATATGTATTATGATGATAATTTATTTTATAAATTGTCGCCGTCATCGCTATCGCTATCGCTGTCACTTTCTGTAACATTTATTATAAAACACACACTGATTGTTTATCGATTTTTGTGTTCATCACTATTTTATTTGGTATCATTATTGATGAAATGACAGTAGCCAATGTCAAATCTGGAATCGAATTAAAATTCTGAATATCGGTATATTTTTGATGTTAAATTGATTTTTATGCAGTTATTGTATTTTGTTTTTCAGTCGGAAGCAGACGCGAAACGAAGAGATTTTGCGTGTTCACAAAGTGATCAACTCACAACGTTAAGAGCTTATAGGGTAAGCAAGATAATAAGAAACTAATTCATTAACAAATTATGTTTTAACTGCGACCAAGTCGATTGTCTTGAAATTTCTATTGTACCCGATTTGTCAAATTTTAGTTGTATCAAGCTGTTTATATTAAAACTTTCGTGAGACATACGAAATTAATTATTATGTTTTCGGACATACATACACGTAACTTTTTGACGATGAACTTGACCAGTTTCAAGCCATGCTAGAGGCTCATATTCATGAGCAGCATTTCGCGACCCGCGACGCGGCGACTGTAGCGCTGTTACTGAAACATGGCATCGTTTAAAACTAGTCGGGTTCCTCGTCAAACAGTTACGTGAGTAAGCCGAAAACATAACAAACGAGGAGATCCTAAATCAGACTTTCAATCTGACAAATCCAAATCCGATTTGGATTCTTGAATGAATTATATGGTACTAGCGACCCGCCCCGGCTTCCCACGGGTGCAATATACATGTATTATACATATAAAACTTCATTAAAAATCACTCTATCTATTAAAAAACCGCATCAAAATCGTTGCGTAGTTTTAAAGATCTAAGTATACACAGACAGACAGCGGATAGTGACTTTGTTTTGTACTATGTAGTTATAGGGTATAATAAAATAGGAAATTTCATTCTCTATTGTAACAACTAAATCCTGTGTGGATTTAAAAATAAAGATATATATTTTTAAAATACATTTTACAGAAATGGCAACAAGCAATGAAATCGAGTACACACGCGGCGCTAGTGTTCTCCAGTGAGAACTTCCTATCACACAAGACTTTGATGATGTTGGCCGACATTAAGCACCAGCTGTTGGGGCTCCTCGCATCTATTGGGTTCGTGCCCGACATGCCGGCTTTAAGAAAAAAGATGAGGAAGGATTCCGTTGCTAGCTTAACTGGAGATGAGGTAATTTGATTTTAACGCCATCTGTTGATGTGGTTTTGTAACTTACGTGATAATTTGTACGATTGAATAGTTTCATAATTATAATGATAGGAAGCTCTTATAAAAACAATAAAATAATTAATTATGTTTACATTTTATGCAATGAAGATAAAAAAAAATATATTTAATTTTCAGCTCAACACCAATGGAAACAACGATAAACTATTGGCAGCCATTTTATGTGCAGCTTTGTATCCAAATGTAGTAAAGGTATGTACTTGAAGTAACAGTAGGTAAAAAAGTTCTTTATTTTATACACATTCCCACACATTCTACAAATTAAATTCAATTTTTTATTGCTTTCTTTATATGTACAATAGGTGTTACATAATTGGGTAGAAACAGTATTATTATAGTATTACTTTGATAGCAAAATATAATAGTACTTATTTTCGCAGGTCCTGACTCCAGAGAAATCCTTCCACATGCAAGCAGGCGGTGCGATCCCCCGCCAACCGACTCCAGACGAGTTAAAATTCAAAACTAAATCAGATGGCTACGTGGCTTTACATCCATCGTCTGTCAATTCCTCTGTAGGATATTTCACCAGCCCTTATTTGGTGTACCAAGAGAAGGTCAAAACTAGTAGAGTTTTCATCAGAGAGTGTTCCATGGTACCTCAGTTGCCGCTTGTATTGTTCTCTGGTAAGTTGTTATTCATTTTGTTGCGGGAACTAACAGAGCTAACTTTTTAAGTGTAGGAGGGCCATGCTTCGGCACGAATGGGCCTGTTCTATCGGCGTGATAGGCCGGCCTGCCTAGCCTATTTCAAAGGCGCCTGTTTAAGGGTTAATCCTTTCTTATATTATAAATCGGAAAGTAAGTTAGTTTGTTTGTTTGTTTGTTTGTTCCGCTATCACGCCGTAACTTCTAAACCGATTGCTTTGAATTTTTGTAGACGTAAAATTAAAAGTCCGGATTAAATAATAGGGTACTCTTTATCCCTGAAAAATTTGGTATTTCCGAGGGAAAACAAAAATATTGGAATAGATGGCGCTGTATGTACTGGTATAGATGGAGTTGTATGTCATTTAACTCGTCGAGTACCGTATTTATAGACACAATTAAAGAACAATAGGTTGCGGTCACCGGTGACCGCTTGGTGTTTGACAGTCAACGAATTACCTACTTATTGGAAAAATCTAAATAGCGCGATATAACCGAATTCCACACGAGCGGATAGCTATTTGTTTGTTTGCCTGTCTTAAACGGCAGAACGGAGGTACTAATTAACATGATTTTTTAACTGAAGGTAGTTGAACGGATGGATAGTCACATAGGCTACTCTTTATCCTTTTGTGACGCGAGCGAAGTCGCGGGTAAAAACTAGTTGAAATATAAATGCTTTGACTTTGAGTGTAGATGGAAAACGTCTGGTACAGTGGTCGTTATTTTGGTGTCTGATTAAAATTCTGAAAACAATGTATTTGAATAGTTAGTTTTTTGTTTCAGGATGCAGTTTGTCTGTGGAACTGCATAACGGTACGTTTATAGTATCATTAGAAGATGGATGGATCATGTTCCAAGTGGAAAAACATGAAGTAAGTATTTCTAATATACATTTTTATAGGTATGAAAGAAAGAAAGAAGAAAGAAAGAAAGAAAAATCATTTATTTGGCAATTACACGCACAGAAAACAAAGAATATAAAAAAATAAAAATACATCTACAGAATACATACAATACATACAGAATTTTGAATAAACAATAAAAAAAATCTAATAAACAAAATAATAATATTAATTTTAATTTGCGCGTGCTAATGCCAAAAGGGCCTCCACCTCAGCATATAGTTGGACGTTTGTGCCCAACGCTGGTTTTCAGGTGGCACCCTGCAGTGACTCACGGATGGTGCGATGCAGGTATCAACTACAATCTTAGTATTATTATGTGATTTGTGTGTAATATTTCCGAGAAGCTTATAATTAGACATAGGTGCTGAAGTACTTATACGTTAATTTATTGTTTTTACATTATCATTGTTTTCTGTTTACTTCGTTTGTTTTGTTTCTTAATTTAACTATTTTCGACTTTGTTATATTGAAAACTAGGATTTTTTGTTTGCATGACGTTATCTATTATTGAAGAAGCACAAGCTATCTGTTTTTTGCATTATCATTGTATATGTTACGTGTATTCTTTGTTGGAGATCCCTTTTAGATAAATCTTTATATATATAATTCTTCTGTGAGTATGTATGTCACTGAACTTCTCCCAAACGACTGGATCGATTTTAATGAAATTTTTTGTGTGTGTTCAAGGGGATCTGGGGATGGTTTAGATTTACACATCAGCCCGGCAGATGGCGCTGCAGTCGATGTTTAGGTTATTTATCCTAAACAACTGAACTAATTTGAATGAATTTTTGTTTATACATTCAAGTGGATATGCAGGACAACGTCTGTTGGGTCCGCTAGTAAATAAATAAATTATGATTTCATATTTTATATATTACAGATTTACATTTACTCTTACATTAATATATGAAAACATGTGTTTAAAATTTTATCTCAATATTTCAGGTCGCAGAAATGTTGAAGACGATACGAGTGGAATTAATAAACTTATTAGAAGAGAAAATCAACGACCCAAGTTTGAACCTGTTACATTACGAGAAAGGTAACCGGATAATAAAGACTATAGTGCAAATTGTAACTAAGGATTAATTTTATTGTTATAATAATTAGTTTATTTATCAATAAACTAAGCGCCAATGATCTTGGTAGGAGATATCTTTACAAATTATAAGAACAGATACATAAAAATAGTTTCTATGGAATTAAAGTCGTATAAAACTCGAAACATTGCGGTTTCCGTTCGTTCCGTTGAGTTTTACCAATAAACTTTAACATTACCTTAATTGCTATGTTTTCGGCATACACACGTAGTTGTTTGAAGCCGATAACATAATAATTAATTTATTATGTCTCGTGAATATTATATTACTTATTGCAGTAGGTCCAATTCTCAAATTCAGATAGGTTATTAATTTTTCTGATTTCAGAAATTCTCAGTCGATATAGCACGGAAGCTAGTACGTTCTATAAATTCCAAAATATTTGTTCTCTATTACATAGAAACTTTATTATTGATAAATTAAAATAGTATAACTTGGGGTACGTCCTCACAATAAACGCCTGGGAAACAATGTTTGCGTAGTGTGAGGTTACTGGAGCTTCCTTCCTTTAAAGGTCAGCAACGCACTTGTAACACCTCTTGTGTTTCGAGTGTCCATAAATATGACTGCACGGTTGGTGCGGTGGCTGGGCAACTGGCTGCCGAGCAACGTGTCGCGGGTTCGATTCCCGCAACACTTTGTGTGATCCACAAATTGTTGTTCCGGGTCTGGGTGTCATGTGTATGTGAACTTGTATGTTTGTAAACGCACCCACGACACAGGAGAAAAACCTAGTGTGGGGCAACGTTTTTTTAAAAAAAAAAAAATATGCTTACTATAAGATGTCCCATTGCACAATTATTACTATCCCCGCCCCCACATACCTATTCCTTAAAACGTGTTATATAATGTACTCGCGACCCGCCCCGGCTTCGCACGGGTGCAATATGCATGTATTATACATATAAACCGTCCTTAAGAATCACTCTATTTATTAAAATAAACCGCATCAAAATCCGTCGCGTAGTTTTAAAGATCTAAGCCTACATAGGGACAGACGGCGGATAGCGACCTTGTTTTATACTATGTAGTGATTTCAAAATAAGAACTATTAACTGAACTTTTACTCTATATGGAATCTAATATCTACTGCGATACGCGTCTACCAAGACTATTGAAGCTTAGTACTTAGAATGAAACCAATACAGGTGCAATTATGTTCTCATAATAATAATAATTTATTTATATACTCATAACAGGTGCTAAATTGTTCGTTTATAGTGATAAAATTATTTGTTTCCTATGATGTGATGTGTACTATTCTTTTATATCAATGGAGGATGATTTTTCTTGTTTTAACTTGTCCAATTCTCATGTTTTTGATAAAAGTATCGAGTCTTAGTGAATGTCTATAAATAATGAAATATTCTCGAATATTACTTTATTTAAAACTTGGGCAATATTGTATTAAAGGTCTGAATGAAGATAATTATGTATGCTAGACATTCTTTTTATCTTTCAGTCAAACCATATACTTGGGAATTGATGAGTTAATATTATTCATAAGTAATTGTGAAATTAACGAGTCTAATACTAAAGCAATCACACTAATTAATTGTATTTAATGTATAAGCAATGTAGACAAATCTTTTATACCAAACCGCAACGGTATTTTACAGCAAATTGTAATGTTAATAAAGCGCCATCTATCCTTTTAGATGATAAACTTTATATAAGCTAGACGTTGCTAGTGTTGCTAATACTTACTAGAGGGCGCTAGTATCAGTGAGATTTTACGTAGATTTTAGTTTGTTTTAGATCATCATACAACGCTAATTTATTCAAATAATAAATTATTAACTTAATATTTATGACTGCAATTAACATTTCTAGAATAATAATGAATTAAAAACCTTTATAACATTGCCGAAATCGAATATTAAGTAGTATTGTAGTTTCAATAATCCCTTTTTGGTCTTTTCCTAATAACATATTTGTCTCATAATCGTAGCAAATACCTATAACCTAAGTAGTCAATTAAAAATATCGTGTTATAAAAATTTACCTCATTTTATTTAACATAGCGTATTCCGGCCATAGTGATAATTATTTATTGAAAAATTCCTGTCATAATTAAGTACTAGATTTATAGAAATGATATGTTAAATGTAAGTTAATTATTTGTTAACGCACGTCACTAAAATTGTATGCACATTTCTCAAGAACTTTTAGGTTTGGCAAAGAGTTCTTATTAGATTATGTATGCGAATATTTTTTGAAATGAAACAGCTACCAAAGTATTGTCTATATACGACGTCGATTGATACCCATCACAATGATGTAACTGTTCGTTTACCGCCCTACCCTAAGGACGTTGAAAAAAGGACATAATCGCCCGAATACTGAAACGTTACTCAATTTTAAGTCACGCTTAAGTATAGTTCTGTCTCCACAAATTCTTTGTGAAATGACAGAGATGGCACGATATTTAAGCACGACTTAAAATTGAGTAACGTTTCAGTATTCCGGCATGTGTCCGCCATTCTTCAACGTCCATGGCCTATCCTTTAAAAAATGGAATTATTTCAAAATTCAATCACTATCTAGCAATTAATACAAATAGGCTGGTTATCGAAACTAGCTGTAAGAGTGGTACCATTATTCCCAATAAATGTTTTGTCAGCTTCTGTAAGCTAATTGCACTGAATGTATTATAATTTATTTTATTTGTATTTTCAATGTATCAAAATGAAATCACACTGACAATAACCATTCACAAATTGTAATTTATTATCAGAATACTGTGTAAATAAATTATTTTTTTGTTGAAATGTGTATTTTATTTAGTAGTATTAGCTAGTCCCATGCTGTTTCAGCCTTCTTCGACACATACAACACAAAAAGCTCCGGAGATCGCGTTCAAAAATTCAAAAAAAATATTCAGCTTTATATCACTGCCTCGTTGGCCGAGTAGTAGTAAGTGTGGCAAGGGGTCTCAGGTTCGCTTCTCGGATCGGGCGAAGTATTACTGGGCTTTTTATAAAATTCTCAGTAGTGGCACGTAGGTAGTCTGGAATTGTGCCCGGTATATGGCAATAGGGTTACCCCCTATTACATGTGTTTCATAACATAAATAGTGGAAAGTGAGTGTTCCATTGTACAGTGGTATTAAGTGCCGTAATGTGCACCTCTGGCTACACCTTCGGGGATAAAAGACGTGATGTTAAGATAAGATTAAAGTACATTCACTACACTGGAGCCATGAAGGTATCATACATGTGTTACGGGCTATTTGAGAAAGTATAAATTCGCTAATAGTGTTAAAAATAACAACGTGATACACGAATTATCATTTAGGAATCTATAATAATTTTACCAACAAGAAAAACCGTCCATTCTTTACCAAACGCTAGAATAACCTGCATCTGACACCCACAAATCACATAATGGCCGGGTAAACGGAAAAATATTGACACGATCCATCATTTTCCTTACAATGTCCGACTATAGGCTGTATGTATGTCCCGAACAAACAGTGGGTCGTCTTAATATTTCACGGTGGAAGAAAAAACGGTGAACCCATGAACGATTTCTGTGCAGTGACGTAGTGTGCGTCCCTAGTCGTAAAACGCACGTGTTTTGGTTTGTTACATGTGTACTTTAAAGGGCGAACTTTTGGGTTAGGACCGTCCGAGTTTGTCTCGCCGTGATGTTATAGTGGATACGACTGAGAAGTCACTATCTTGACGATTGTGAATAAATGTGTGACAATAAGTGTTTGGTGGGAAGCAAGCAAGAAGTGATCAGCATTAATTTTTTTACCCAGTTAATATTACGTGAATATAATTCATTCTTTGGCATAATATATGAATCAAATACAAAAAAGAAACAATTTTAAAATACTTGTCGTTAATATATTCTTGAAAGCGACATCTATGAGAGAGTAGCGAAACTTAAAAATCGATTACTATGCTAAAGGAAGGTAGATGTCGCTACCGTCGATGTGATTTTCCAATTGGATTCTAAAGTTTGGAGCGCTAAAATGACGCTCGACATGAACGCGAAGAACATTCACCCGTAGAGTTAAAAATCTTATTGGAAACAAAGAAAGTGTGGCAAAAACCTTTTGTATCGTAATAGTATTTCGTTTAATGCCGTCCGTATGACAGTTTCGTATTTTTTATTCGATTTCATTTTTACGCTTAGGCTATCTCGGTTGTTTTGTGGTGCAATAGAAAATTACAACAGAACATTCCTTCTATGCTTGTGTAGCTAACGAGAATATTATTTTCCACACCACATCCCCTATCATCCAACGCCAGTGTGTCGCCATTTTGAGTCGCATCACGTACCGGCCGGCGTGTAATTGGCGCCATTTAGGTACAGTCCCGCGGCCGCCTCGCATTGCACGTCCGTGGCCCCACAACCTTGCGAACCAATATGTTGTGAGAAACTTTGTAGGCACAGCTAGCAAGCCGTGTTTAGTTTGTTGAAGATTTCGAATAAGCTTTACTTTTTGTATTTTGAAAGTCGTAAGTTCATCGCTTAAGGGTTGCGTCGTTCAACGAATGCATGCATCCTTCGCACAAATAATAGGCGGCAAAACAAATGACAAATGCTTGCATTTTGATTAGAAACAATGAAAATATCGACGAAGCGGCATTGTTAGGCCGCCTAATATTTGCGAAGAATGCCTGCATTCGTCAAATGACGCCACGTGGACAGTTACCCTAAGTTTCGTAAGTTGGTAGATCGTGTTTGTGTAAATTTTTGACCAGTTAGTTTATTGTCGAACACAGACATTAGCTAGCCCACATAGTATAGGTTAGAATTGTGTGGTTTACCTTATAAGTAATAAAGGTTCCTGGTAGTCACACATCATAAGCTCCATTCGGTATTCCATTTCGCTAACCGACTGAACAACCGATCTTTTAGGCGCAGATAAAGGTCCGACCACAAAACACGTCACCTACAAAAATCACCCACCTTCCCCCAATTTATCAGCATTAAACATTTTCACATAAACATGATCGGTCTCGGTACCTACGC